CCCCAAAACCCCAAAACCCCAAAACCCCAAAACCCCTTTATAAGAATATTTGATTGAATAATGGATAATATTTTCCACAAACAGGAATACTTATCGTTAGAATATGGAGTTCACGGACCAATTATCAAACCTTGAACAGGTTTTCACGCACAATGAGTTGAAACATGAAGTTTATACTAAGAATATGGACGATAGCCTGAATGGAAAGTATGTCAATCAATGTCTAGCCACTCCTATCTTGAAGCCGGTAAAAGGCAAGATTGATATACCTCCTCTGGAGGGCTTCCCCTCGCCAGCAATTCCGCTTGGGGATGAGTCCTTGATGAACCTTGGCCTTACTGATAGGTAAGTCTTTCACTGATTTATTAGTCGATTTTTATAGCCAATTTTTCGAATACTGAGATTTGATTGGATAATTTTTTGGCCTAAAAAGCGTCACTTTTTGTCCCTACACTGTTCCTCCACTTGTGGATTTGCATAGCTTTGTTAGCTTATAAGGAGATCAAAGGTTGATCAGTGAGCTATCTGCATCTCTCTAAACTGAAATTAATCAGGGCTTTGTAATTTCCGTAATATTTTCCCTATAAGCTTTATTTTAGCATTTTTTAGATTTTCTTTGCTAAGCTTCAAGTTTAAAAAGATCTTTGTTATTTGAGCCAAGCTCAGAAGAATCTTTCAAACACTCTTATTTTTCAACCAATATTTTCTATAAATCCCTATTATTACGATTATTTTGAGGCAAAATAATACTATCTTGACCCAAAATCTTCCAAGAAAGAGAGAGCTGGTTTAAAAATTTAGCCGAAATTTTGGGATGTCCAATAATCTGGATTCTCGTGTAAACCAGCAAATTTAGAGCACTCTAGTGCTCTAAACTGCTGGCCAACGCTATCTGCACTTTTAAGGACCCCACCTTCTGTGGAAAATTGGATAGACTGAAGGATTTCCACAGTGTCAAAAATTCTTTTTTTTGACTTCTAGAATGGACTCTTAGCACAATTTATTTATAAATAGCTCATTTTGGCGAATCAAACATTGCCAATTGTTATTCAGAGAATGGTTACATTGCTAATTCAACCTGATATGGAGGAATAGAGCCTCAGACAGTTCTGACGACTGGGTCTCTTTGAGACCCAGTCGTTTTGAAAGTGAGGCTACTGACTCTCTAACAGAGATACTAACAATGATTACTCTAGAATGTTCTCTGGATAATTTCTTATGTGTTTGAAGGCATACTAATCCTTAAAATTAGAAGATCTGTTTATTCTCGAACGAATTCTGAGACCAGTTTTTGTTAGGTGAATGTATAATTTTGCTGCATTTTTGCTCTATAGAGTAGAAATTCATGTTTATCTAGGAAATACCTCCTCGTTTTATGAGTGGTTACTTTCAGTATCGCAACTTCTCTAGTAAATTGAAATCTTTTATTCGGTAAATATCCAAACAAATTAAATGAGGTTTTTGTTATGAATCTGAAGGAGATGTACTAATCTTTGTATATAGAGTTGAGCATTTCCGCTTGTCGCCAGACATCGATTCGAAGTTCACAAAGCTACAAGTCAATTTGGAGAAGAAGAACAGTAAGTGGTTAACTCGAGTCAGGCCTAATCATGCTATATAGTTTCATACAAGTCATCTACTACACCAAATGTTGCTTATGCTACCTCTCCCTCGAGTGAAATTCAATCGATCTCAACCTTTGCTACAACAAATATTCAGAACACTGAAAATAGTGAGTTCACAATGGTTCTCTCTGAAGATGAGAGTGACAGTGTCCAAGGGCATCTTGGCGCTAAGAAAGCTCCCAAATCTAAAGAGAGAAAGCTGAGCTCAGAAGGAGGAATCACTCTTCCTCCAAGAGCAGAAGAAGACTCTATTCTTAGACCTCATTCTAAGAAGACGATTATATCTTCATCAAAACTTTTGAAGGATCAGCAAGCTCTAATGCCTACAACTATTTTAGGATTCCTGCAAAAGTCTGTCAAAGACTTAAAGCAAGGTAATACTAAAAAGAGGGTAGAGAAAGCTGGTCTGAAGAGTCTTGAGGCTCTTAACTTGACAACTAGCATTGGCGAAGTTGGATCAAGGTTTCCCAGCTTCACCCTGGGCTAGACTATTAGCCACATAGCCTCAGTGTGCTCTAAAGACCTTCTCTCCTCTTTTTAGGGTTACTCTTGCTTTTTGTAGTGCTCGAAGAGCACTCCAACAAGCAATTGAGTTCCTGGCCTATAGCAGGGCAAGGCTCCCGAGCCTGCTCTGTGCCAAGAAGTGGCCAGATTCGAGTTGTTTTCAGGCACATTGGGGATCAATAATAGGTTCGCCCTCTATTACCAATAGTATTATTCAACCAAATCAAAATTATTAGGGGTTTTGGGGTTTTGGGGTTTTGGGGTTTTGGGGTTTTGGGGTTTTGGGG